CGACTTAGAGTGAATTTCCCTGAGAAGCTCTACGGAACTTAGTCTAGCACCATCCACACCGGTTGTTTCATGTGCATTGGTCTTGCTTTTTACCTAAGCTCTAAACCCATTGAGTACCAGTATCTCATGTCATATAATTTTCTGTCTCAGCAATTCCTTTAACAGAGTAATTGGCCCAATCTAAAATCAACAGGAAAGCAAGCCCATTGCCTGTGGTAATATGATGCTGAAGTATTTAAAAATTCTTTCTCCATATTTTGAGAAAGTATAAATGATCTCTCATTTACCAAGTTTTGTCTTTCCTACCATGCATGCATGTAAATGGTTCCTGACTGAACAGGTTATGAAACTCTGTAGCAGTTACAGGCAGCTCTGTATCTTGAAAACTCAAAGGGAAAGGTAAGGGAGACCAGGAGAATGTAGGTGTGAAAGTGAGAGTCTGTGTTCTTCAGTGGAAAGAACACTTGACCAGAATCTGAAGACCAGCTTGTGTTTCTTGCTGTTCTGTTTCTTATCACAGGATCTTGAGAAAATCAGCTGAACTCTCTGAGACTGCCTTCTTTTCTCCTGTAGTGATCAGGCATCGTGTTGTCTGCTTTATCTTCTTGAGTAGCAGTGGGGGTTGGGCTGAAGGATTGTGATAAGGATCAATAGATGATTGTCTAATATGTGTGACGTCTAAAATGCAGTTCAGGAGAAGTTTTATTATCATTATCAGTTTATGAATGGAGTTTCTAAAATTTTAAAATTTTTTTTAACTTTTATTCGTTTTTGAGAGACAGAGACAGAGTGCGAGTGGGGGAGGGGTAGAGAGAAGGGGAGATGAAATCTGAAGCAGGCTCCAGACTCTCGAGCCATCAGCACAGAGCCTGAAGCAGGGCTCCAACCCACGAGCTATGAAATCAGGACCTGAGCCAAAGTTGGACGCTTAAGTGACTGAGCCACTCAGGCACCCCAAGTTTCTAAATTTTTTTCCCACTTGTTATATTGTATAGAGTAACAAAAATGTCATTTAGGCTTTTTTTTTTAAATCGGTAAATGTAATAGAAGAAATATACTTCATTCATGATGGTAGGACATGAATTGTTACATGGGCTTCTAGATTCCTCATTTTTGAAGTGAACAGTGAGGTAAGTTAGATGGTCTCATAGATAGATGATAGATAGATAGATAGATAGATAGATAGATAGATAGATAGATATGGTTTCTAAACTTCATAAACATGCATCTTCCACACCAACATTCCCATCAACCAGGGGAAATGAGACATTGATGCTTCTTGTGTGGTTAATAAAGTTACTTGTTTGAGGGAAGAATGGTACTGTAGATGTGTATGTAGCATAGAATATGGGAGAGAGTTTAGAAGAATTTCAAAATGCCCAGGGAAAAAAGGTTAACCTCAAATAATTTCAGACTGCCAAACCTAATTATGGGTTGGAATTAAATGTTCTCCATTAATGCAGTTATCCATTGAGTTGAGATTGAAGGAGCTCAGTAGTGGGCTTTTTAATTACCTGTTTTGGTGTAGAAGGTGCTCAAGTGGTAACCAAGCAGACACCATTTACATGGGCAAGCACTTTGTCTAAATATTGTTCAGAATTCTAATTACATTCCCCAAACGGAATGACTTTTTTTTTTTTCTGCTGATCTTAAGTTAAACAGGTCCTCCCATAGCAGAAGCAGAGATGCTGTGTGAAAGGTGAAATGGTGACAGAGTTAAGCATTATTGTTAGCACCCAGACACTGCTTGTTTGCCAAGCAAACAAGTGTTCGGGGAGTCACCAGCCATGGAACAGGACACCCTTGAGCAAAGCTGTCTTTTCGCTCCTACTTTTTCATATCCATGTTTGGCCTTTCCCAGGCTTCCATGGGTACCTGTTGCTTTCAGATATTTTATACCTAGTCCTCTATTAAAGAAAAAAAGCCTATCTTCACGATTGGGTATGACACCTATTTATAATCATATTCAATCCACTGAAAAGGCTTACGCCACAAATGTGCTTGAGGGCATTTTGCTCTTACAGAATACAAAGGCTTAAGTTCATGAATGGGTTTTTATTAGTGAAAGTTCTGGGACTGGTAAATCCTAGGCCAAGATATTCAAATCATCAATGAACACCTATTAAGTATCTTCCATGCGATGGTATCAGTTATGTTCTATTGATACATCTAGATTCCAACTCTTATTCTATGATCCAGTCTGCATCCTTTCTATAGCACTTAATTCTTACCCTTATTGAAAAATAGAGCTTAAATTGATTAAAAACAAAGCCATAGAAACATAGGCAGAACTATTCTCTCAGAGGTCTTTAAATTTGTCTCCATTTTCTTTGGTGAAGAAAAATTAAAATCAATTATTTTCACTGTGTCCTTTTGAGAAGCCAACTTCTCTAATTCAGCTTAGAAAGCATTTTCTCAGGGGTGCCTGAGTGATTCAGTTGGTTAAGTGTCTGACTTCAGCTCAGGTCATGATCTGACGGTTCGTGGGTTCAAGCCCCACATCCGGCTCTGTGCTGACAGCTGGGAGCCTGGAGCCTGCTCTGGATTCTGTGTCTTCCTTTCTCTCTGCCCCTCCCCTGCTTGCACTCTGTCTCTCTCTCTCTCTCCAAAATAAGTAAACATTAAAAAAAAAAAGAAAAGTTTTTTTTTTCAAAATCAGTGTTTCTGCTTCACTTGAATTTGCCTGGACTAATAAATACTGATTTCCCACCTTTTATGCCTGGGTTTGTGCAAGGACTCCTAAGGCCCTAACTCATCAGGGGATGAATGAGGTAGGGCGGGGTGTCTAGGAACTGGTGTCCTGACTCAGTCTTTACCACACTGTTTGAAATGAGTGGGAGGAAAAGAGAGAGAAAGGGAAAGAGACTGAGAAGTGATATATAAGACCATAAGTCATGGTCCAACATATAGTTCTTCATTCTACTTTTACACCACCAATAACAATAAGGAGGAGACAAATGAACTAAGGAAGCTAGGTCTCTATCGTTGGGTCTCTGATTGATTCAATCTGGTAAGAAAGGACATGATTTCTTTAATGATCCTGGTGAAAATTTTCTAGTAAATAGCAGCCATTTGTGATTTTTTTAATGTCATGTGATCCAATGAATTATTACTAAGATGATGATTATCATTATTTAAAACTAATTTCTCCAGGATCAGGTCATGATCCCGGGGTCATGGGATCGAGCCCTGCATTGGGCTCCATGCTAAGCATGAAGCCTGTTTGAGATTCTCTCTCTCTCTCTCTCTCTCTCTCTCTCTCTCTCTCTTTCTCTCTCTCTCCAATCTCCCCTGCTAGCTCTCTCTTTATCAAAAAAATACATGTAATTTCTCCATAGTGTTGACATTAGACGCAAAACAAAAGATTAAATATGAAAATCTTAAATAAAATTAGAAACCATCAGAAGAGAACCTAGATAGGATAATTCTAGCACATTTAATGCCTGGAATAAAGATGAGTTCCTTTATGTAGTAACACAATTGGAATTGTTTTCTGAGAAACTAGTTTATACAGTGCACACCCACTACAACTAACGTCCAATGAATAAGCTTAGTTATGTAATATGTCACTGTCTTGCACATCCACCTTGGCTAACTACATACATCATAATAAACTTTCCAGAATTGATTCACTTTTCCCCCTCAACTCATAAGATGAGCTGTGGATCTGATACAACTCCTGAGAGGACTGTGTATACTTTGTGTAAATACAGACAGCAGTTTGGCATTGGTCTGTCCCAGAAAGACACAATCATCAACATGGAATAGTCACTAGTATTGAAGCTAGGCAAGTCTTTCTTACCCTAGTATAGAGATCTTATACAGAATATTGACAGAAGTGGGATTAAGTAGGTTCCTAAAAGGAAGTGATTATAGCTATGGTAAAGGGAAAAACTCTGACCAAGAGATAGAACCTGGAGAACACACAACGTACAGCATGGATGTTCCATGAAAATATGCAATAGTAAAAACTACCACCTGCAAAAGATGCCCAGAGCTGTAGTTGTAACAGGCAAATGATTCATTTGGAAGATAGTTTTATATAGTCTGTAAGGTTAAAGAAGGCCAAGACTTCTTTAGATACACTGATAGTATCTAGAATTTCTATTTAGAGAACAAAGCTTTCATTTCTGTGCAGAAGGGTCCATCATCATTCAAGCTCTCATTAGTCACTGACCTGTATATAGAGGCAGGTCATTGAACAAATACGCAAATAGAATCTATTGGGAAAAAGTCTATATGGTTTCTATAAGTGGAAATCATGCCTGACTGAACAACCTGAATTCTCTCAGGCATAAATAGATCTTTTAAAAAAAATAAACGAATGCCTTGTAGACAAGGAATTACTAGTAGAAGTAATTTAATTAGACATGCAGAGAACCTTTGGCAAGGTATACCTCATAAGATATGTAACTAGAGGAACTTTCCAAACCCTGGATATTCATGCATCCATGTTTGGAAAGATGATTCACATCCAGTGGGGAGCTGGATTGCTCAGGAATGTTCCAACTCTGCCTCTTGGACTTACACATACGTGCCCTGAAAGCCATGCATGCCCAGAGAAGCTAATGGTGGACTTTGCATCATTGGGGCAGTTCCAGATTTGTTTTACATATTGCACTCCTTGTAGGGTTTCATACAAAGGGCTTGAAAACAGTTGTATTAGATTACCTCTGAAATCCCTTCTACTTGTATGACGAACCTGTAATTGTCATTCTTGTCTACTTTAATAGATATAAACTGTCATTTTTCTCTACCCCTTATTTACTAAGGGACTTGGATAATTTTTTGAAACAGAAAACTGGATTTAAAGCAGGATATAAAGCATAGTGACAAATGGAATATCTTCTAGTGAAAAAAATAAAATGGCAGTGCCTACTAAGGATCAATGCTGAGGTTCATCTAATTAATTGATTAATTAATTAATTAACGTGTATTTAGTGAGATTGCAATACCCAATTTTGCAGTTGAGTCTAATTTATCTTGGAGAAAAATGTCAGTTCAGTTGGCATAAATATCACCTTAATGTTCATGCTAGGCAAAATCGAGAAGGAATGCTATGAGCGAATTCAATCTTAGAGAAAGTTCTCTACGCTATGGAAGATTTAGGATACTCTAAATAGGAGTCACTTCCTAGTCCTTTCACAGTCCAGTTTTACTCACCGGTAGCTGACTGGGTTGAGAAGCATACTGTTCAACCCTAAGTTTTCTTTGTAGTATGTGACATCCTATGGTAAGACTAAGCCCCATGACTTCTCTGTTTCATATGGCCAGTTCATGGATGTTACTTTAATTAATGTTGTTTCCTAGTGTTTGAGGAATAATAAATGTATTAGACCTAAAGACTATTTAATAGCATAGATTTTTGTATAGTTCTCAAGATATTTTCTTAGTACAACATAAAGACCAAAGGAAAAAAATATATAAGCAATTCCATGCTGAATAAAATCTAGAATACATGGACACCAGGGTTCTGTCCCTGATAGTCAAAGATGAGTTGTAGAGGGCCAAGTAATCTCTCTAAAATACGCATTTTAGAGATCACATCCAATTTTATTACTTTCAATATAATCTGTATGCTGTTGACTTCCAAATACATAGCTTCAGTCCCAATCTGTCCTCCATATATTTAGTCCCTTATTCAATTGCTTGCTAGTCATATAATTTCCAGTTATAAAAATGAGCAACTCTCAAATACAATATTCCCAAAATGGACATACTGTAACCTTTTTCTCCCAAATTAGCATTTCCAGTATTCTCAATTTCTGTTAATGGGACTACACAAGCATCAAACTATGGAGTCATCTTTGCTCCTCACCTGTGTTCTTTCTACTACCTTATACTGTACCCAGATAAGTATACTTGAATGACCACTCTCTGAGAGCAGCCCCTTAGGAAAGAGTTCACAAGCTCTTCCCATGCTTTATAATTCATGGATTTCATTTGTCAGAACAGGCTTCAAGGAATAAATATGACCTCCAGTGGTGAACTTTCTAACATATATTCCACATGGGTGATAAGCTGTAACCCATATACAGCATCATGCAGAAAGTAAGGGTACTAGAATATAAATACAGGCCTGCCAGACTGTAACTGTAAGGCCACTGTAAGGTCATCATCACCTGTTGAATCCCAGAGAAAGTAAACAGTGGCTTTGTCATTTATCAGTGTATGTGTGAGTGGGGAGGGGGGGACCCCAACAGAAATATCTCAGCTTTCCAGAGGTTTACCTTATAACTGAAGAATGAAGGCAGCCCTTTAACCAATTCTGCATTTGCATTGGTGAGGATTGTTTGTGGAATTAACCTTTGTATGTCATTTTTAGTCATAGAAATGTAAGTAAAGAATTACAGAGTTTGAAGTTGAGTAGAAAGCATACAAGAAATTTCTCCTTCGACTTTACATGTGGTTAAAAAACTTGTTATGGTGTCTCCTCAGGCTAGCGGCATGTTTGGTATCTCTGAGAGTTTCCCACTTTAACACTTCTCTCTACAAGGCACAGATTGGCAGGCAGATCTTAGTGGATTCAGAAGCTTCAGTTAATTTCCAGTATAGAAATGGCCTTAGGATGAGTCATGTAAGCTGCCCAAAAAAGATGGCACTTGAAGGTCAATGTGCAGTGTTGATCCACCCCATTTCCCTATTCGTTCTTCATTATGTTATTCAGAGTTGGTTGGACAAATCGTACTATTATTCATCTTAAAGCATTCTGCTGTTTAAAAGTGTCTAATTCCAAGATTTAATGGTTTCAATTGAAGAATTAATGTCCCGTGGTGAATCTACAATAAACATATTTAATCTTCTATCCCATCATTGTGAGCCACACAATTACTACAAAATAGTTATCAAATCCATCTATTTAAAAATGTTTTGCTAAGAATATAATGATGCTTCCTGTGCTCTCACTTTTCAAATGGCTTTGATGTGTGATTTGAATTTCTCTTTGGGTCAGAAATCTGTATATCAGTAATTGGACTGTCAACTCTCCCAAGGCAAAACTTGATTCTGAAAAATAAAATGACTTTTTGCTTATTTTTCCCCACTGCATACATTCTAAAGATGCTAACAGAGGTGAACTACACGTATGGTACTTTTTTCTATTGCATTATCGGTCTCCTCTATGAAGATAATTCAATTAGAGATTTGAGGAGTCATAAAATTGAATAAAATTGTTATTTTTCCTTTACTGGACTCAGTGAGAGAAAAAAAAAAGCAGGTTGTTGGAAGTAAGGAAGTAAGGAAGTTGGGCTTCCTTGGGAACCCTCCCAAGAAAATAACCTGCTTTTCTGCAGGAATACCTGCAGTTACCTAGTGTTTTGAAGAATAAACTGAACTAAAAGAAATAAGTCATGTTCGTGAGCAAGGCAAATTCCACAATGCCTTTGCCTCATGCAGAAGGTACACGGAAAGCATTTAGGTCAATGCAGGAAAATGTCTCATCTTCAAAGCAATTCCTCTGGGGGAGTGGTCTTTTTAGAATCACATTTATCAACCCACGGTTTCTTCCCCAAATGCTCATCACTGTGTGACTACCTTGTTAATACTTTCTTTTGATTCATCTTGTGGTGTGCCCCGCTTTTCCTCAGGTGAATTTGTCACATGAGCCTTATTTCAGTTTATCCCCTCTCAACTTCCAAATGGTAATATCCATTCTTATTTTTCATCCTCACATTGAATTCTGCATTCTGTAATAGCGACAGATATGATGCTGCCAAGGTAGATCAGAGTCATATTTATCTTCTCCTTGGAGACCTTCTTGCATTATTTACTGTTATGAGGTCTTTTCATTTATGCCGCTGTACACCTTGTTGGGTCCCGAGGTCCTGGTGAGCCTGCTTCCAATCTGATGTGACACCGCTGATAGCATTTGAACTGCATCACATTAAGGGGCACTTGTAAGCCATTTCTATCAAATTCCACTAAGAACAGAGCAAAAACCAGACAGGGTCATTTTCTCAAAAGGATTTTTCCAGTCCTGAGCTATTCCCGTTAGATTTCTAGTGACTCCTTCAGGTCAAGCTTGAAGCAATGTCTTTTTTTGACAAGGCAGAGATTAATTTATTGCTTGGTTCTTTTGCTGACTCAATAGAAACTTGTTTCTACCAGAAAAATATTATACCTTTCCCTGGATAATTTGGCCTAGCTAAAATGTTCTTTGAGGATGTATATGTTTTAAATGCCAGCGAGACAGATAAGGCACTTTGTTTTAAATTGGTTATATTGACATAACTTGATGTGAACATTTAAGTTTATTCTAGAAAGACACAATATTTTATTTTTCTTCCTCACAAACAGAATTTTCTAACTTTCCATAACATTCAGAAGATTGTCTTACTGGTCTTCTGATTCTCAGAAAAAGATTGCAATGGAAAGAGAACTGTTATCAATGTCAGGAGACCTAGTGTTCTCACAGCAAGCAATGGGTTTTTTAAACTTCTTTCTGTCGTGGTTTCTTCACCTACTGGTGGTCTTATCCAGTCCTTGTCCTTAAACACCAACAGTAGTGCTTTGATAACTGAAATTTATGTGACCAATATCTCTGATTGGATGTGTGGAAAATATCTCAGATTTTATACATACAAAGTCTAGAATTTACTCCAAACCTGTTCTTCCCTTAGTGTTTTCCATTTCAAAATGGCACCACCATTGACTCAGTTACCTAGGCCAAAAATTTTGAAATCACCTATAATTCTCTCACACTTCACATCCAACCCATCAACAAATCCAAAACAAATTTGAAATCCTATATATTCAAATATACACTTGGAATCTATTCCAAATTTGACCACTCTTACCAGGTTCATGAGCACCACCCAAATCCAAGCCATATCATCTCCTCCCTGAATCACTGCAGTAGTTCCTAACTGATTTCCCAGTTTCCAATCTTGCCACTAATGAATCCATTCTCCATATAGAAGCAAGAGAAATATTTCTAAAACACTGTTCAGGTTATATCACTTCTCTTTTTAAAACCCTCTAGTGGCTTCTCCTCTTCATCAGAATAAAACCTGTGAACCTTGTTCTAGCTTCTAAGGCCCTAGGCAATCTCCCTGGAACTTTCCAAGCTCGTCTCCCATCTTTCTCCCTGGTACTCACTTTGCTCAAGTTCTACTGGCCTCCCCCCATGCAGGTATTGAACATGCCATTTGCAGCAACATGGATGGAACTGGGAGGTATTTGCTGAGTGAAATAAGTCAGTCAGAGAAGGACAGATATCATATATTTTCACTCATATGTGGATCTTGAGAAACTTAACAGAAGACCATGGGGAAGGAAAGGGGAAAAAATAGTTACAAACAGAGAGGGAGGGAAGCAAACCATAAGAGACTCTTAAATACAGAGAACAAACTGAGGGTGGACAGGGAGGTGAGGGAGAGGGGAAAACGGGTGATGGGCATTGAGGAGGGCACTTGTTAGGATGAGCACTGAGTGTTGTGTGTAAGCCAATTTGACAATAAATTATATTTTAAAAAAAGAACATGCCAAGCACACTCCCTAGGTGCTGCCTGAAATGTTCCACAAGCCTAATGCTTATTCAATTTTGAGAATCGTTTTCAGTCAATTAAAATACAAACATTAGATATAAAAGTGAATATTTAACCGAATAAATGGCAGTACTTTACAAATTTGAACAAGCTGGCAAACAGCATAATGATATTTTTATTAATTAATTATATTTTTTTTGCCTTGGCACGGTGGATGTAGGCATATACTTAGATACACCTACAACTGGGAAGGTGGTAATAGCTTAAGTAAACAGTGACTACAAACCACATAAACCCATGAAAACCAAAATAAATGAGTCTCCTTGTGATCCCAACAATGCCCTGGCCACACCAATACCACCTGATAGGAAGGAGAGAAATGTGCTGGAGGTAGGAGCTGGAATGGAAAGAGGCAGCAAACATATAACCAATTGTGGTTAAAATTCCTTACTGTGCAAACTTTACAAAAAAATATATGACCCTGTGAACACATAGCTAGGACCCTTTCCAGGGCCTTGGCAGAAGTCTGTTTAAGTGAGGGA